ATAATTGAGTGGTGAGGGAGTGGGGTAGCTCAGTGGTTGACCACTGACTTCCAGAACTCAAGGTCCCAGGTTCGAATCCGGCTGATGACAAATAATTTTTCATCAGGGGTGGGTCTAGGGGCTTAAGGCCGGGAGATCCTCCTGAGGCAAACCCAGCCTCTTGCCTCTATGAAGTGGATAATCTTAATTAAATAATTGATTAAGAGGGAAAACCTGTCTGTTGAGCGTGATTTTGGCCTGTCACCTCCCTGCACAACCGTTGGCCTTGTAACAGTACTCCCTCACATTGTACTGAACCCATTACCCTTCATGAGTTGTTAGTGGTATAGGTTTTTTTTTTATAATTGAATCGGTGAGAATGAGAACAGTACATGTCCCAAATCAGCTTTTTGAGATATCAGCAGCCAAAGGTTTTGTTATTGTGTGAATCACTTTCAGTGTATTTTAAGGACTGAGTGTATTTTAATTATCAGATATTATACTTTCAGATCCGAACAACATTACCAGCTATTTTTTTTTGCATCAAAATAGAACTTGATATGGACGTAAGGTTAAAACATAAGTTACTGGTCTTGTAATGTTTTCATTATAAACAAAATTCAAGTGAAAATATTAGCTTTATTCATGTGAATAGTAATGGTAAATCATCTGAAATACAATGTGATTGTCTATCCTTGGGTAATGTCAGAAGGAAAAAAATTTACTCATTTTCTTCATTTTCTTGTTGTTGGAAGGCTATCCATTCTTGGATACTCTGATAGAATTGTTAGTACGGATGAACCCAATGAACTGAACCTTTGTGATACATATATATCAATCTGATATATGATTTAGAATAGTCTCCAGTGTTTTCCATATTGAGGAAACAGCAATAATTATTTTTATTTTGGAGAAATGGATCATTTGATTGAAAAACATAGTATTCCCATCTTAGCAAACTATTCAATATCTTTAAGCAATATTGAATTAATGTGATGTATTTTCTAAAACATGCTGAAAATTAATTTAAAAATTAATAGAAACAATTGCATCACTCCCTGATGGAATCTTCCATCTTAATCTCTCCGAACCTCAGTATGTTTCTCAAATATAAATTATCAGGCAGATGGCAATCAATGTGGAATGAAAACTCAACCCTCTAAGTAAATTAAATAATAATAGAAGCTTAGCGAATCTGAACGTTCGATACCTATACCACCAATCTCTGTTTACATACTTTCAACCACTACCCGCTGTCAAACCCCCCTCCCCCCTCCCAGATCAGTCTTAACACAATCCTTCCACCTCAGCTTCTGTCTATCTCTTGAACTTTTACCAGATGACACTGTGCATATGTACTTAAATTAAAAGCTATTAAAAAAACTGTGACATAATTGCCTATATCAAACCATAGCGATTGGTGGAGTGACTCGCACTTTCTTTCATTATTACAAACAGTCGCCAGAATTTGAATTGCATTCTTTCAGATTGATATGTATTTGAAAAATTCTTTCTCTATGTCTCTGGTTAAACAGAATTGTGCGGATCTCTTATACATCAATGCTTACAAATATAAGTACATATATTTTTAAAAACATCAAAATTATAACAGCTCATGAATGTTTTTTTCTTAATACTGATTTCTTAAAAAGAAAAGAAAAGTGTTTTCATTTAATTTTTCTTCATTACTTGAAGATTTTCCATATCATTATGATAAAGTTTAATCAAGAGCCGTTGATTTTGATAGGCCTTGGATTTCATACATGGACTACCTTGATAATATTATATTGTATATATGAAAAAAAATCTTTCACTAATACAGGGGTGCCAATCCACCCCCAAGGTCAATGGCGCAAGATTGATCCTCCTCCTTTCTCTCACTCACAATATATTTTATTGCTCATATTTTCTTAAAAACAGAGCGAGTGAATGTAGAGATAGAAAAATCGTAGATCATACACAATTACATTTGCTGCAGTCTGTTCTATGTTTTCTCCTTGTCTCTTAGTATGAAACTTTTCATTCCAAAAATTCATTTCTTCCAAAATGTGTCCCCCTCAAAAATTAAAAAAACCTGTCAAAATATGCCCTCCTAAAATATTTTGATGAAAATTTCATAAAACCCCCTTCTGCCCCTCCCCCCTGCACTAATATCAATTATACAATGAATGCATCAGGGCGATGAATAGCTTTTTTTAAGTGAGAGCTCTTGCTATACTAGTATGATTAAACAAAAACATGATCACAAAATTTTACTAGATAGTTTCAAAATATTTCTTTATTTTTATTTGTATAAACATTTTAATTTTAGTGGGGTATACTTCTTGAAATGAAATGAAAAAATAATTTTATTCTGAGACTACTGTCCCCTAAGAATAATAACAGAGTTACAAATTTATGGATTGTAGTCTGATTTAGAATAATAAAAAATACTAACTAATTAACGGTTAATTGTTATTGAAGGAAGCTAGTTAATTGTTATTGCAATTGTGCAGTAGATTGAAATTAAACAGTGTACAGTTGCAAATAATTTTACATGTTTGCGTAAGTTTGGATGTGGAGTAGATTGTGGAACAGGAGTTGTTTGAAGAAATTTGTGGACAAGGATTGATGTATGGAGGTAGGAAGAGAGTTCCAAAAGGAAGCAGCACAAATGATGAAGGATTTGCTGAAGGTAGAAGTTTTATGGAAAGGAATATATTAGCCTATAGGTTGAGACCTGGTGTTAAGAGAGTGGATAGGGAAACGTAGAGTAAGGAGTTCCAGGATGTAGGGAGGGTTTTTGGTTCTGAGGACTTGGAAAAGGAAAACACCAAGGAGGAATTGTGGTCGGAAAGTAGGATAAAGCCACTTCAACTCGGTGTACCAGAATGAAACATGCAAACACCTGGGGATCCCTTGTGTCTTATGAAACAGTTCATGAATTTCTTCAGTCTCATTTTTAGTCTGGCAAATAGCCCTCCATACATCAAACAACCGTAATCGAAGTGGGGGAATATAAGGGAGGTTACAAGGACTTGTCTGGTTTTTAGAGGAATATTATCATGGAATCTTAGGAGTTGTTTAAGGACTGTTGTGGATTTTCGGGTAATCTGGGAGATATGGTTATTCCAGGAGAGGATTCTGGTCAAAATTTACTCCTAGGTTTTTGACTATATGGAAAAAATGGATGCGACGGTTATTGAGGTAAAGTAGAGGAAAGTAAGGAAGGGATCTAATGAGATGTCTGGACCCGATGAGAATTGCCTTACTTTTATCAGCTTTTAGCTTTAATTAATTTATTTCTGCCCATCTGTTGATGCAGTTGATATCCTCTTGTAGCATTTTCTGCAGTCTGTTCCATGTTTTCTACTTGCTCTTAGTGTGAAACTTTTCACTCGAAAAATTCATAATCCTCCCAAAATATGTCCCCCTCAAAAATTAGAAAAACCCGTCAAAATATGCCCTCCTCAAACATTTTGATGGAAATTTCCTGAAGCCTCCTTCTGGCCCTCCCTACACTGTAACCACTTATAAAATGAATGCATCAGGGTGATGAATAGCTATTTTTAAATGAGAGCTCTTGCTGGAGTATACTAGTATGATTAAACAAAGTATGAGCACAAAATGTTACCAGTTAATTTTAAAATATTTCTTTATTTTTATTTGTATAAATATTTGTATTTTAGTGGGGTGTACTTCTTGTGATGATTATGGCCTGTATTCAAATTTCTCTAAGGGTACCTTGAACACACCAATAAATTCTTGAGGTTTTTTTCTTTTAAATTCTTTTATTATACTAACACCTAATTCTCAATGATAATTTATTTAGTATATCAGGATATTTGTATTCCAATGACGATCTCTATTTTTATTTAAAAATTAACTTTATTTCTAGAGAAGCTTTCGGTGACCTGCATCATATTCATCTCTATTATATAACACATTTCAATCAATAATAATTTTAACAATTAACAGTACATGATGTTACATACTTACTTTCTTTTTTTTTTAATAAAAAATTTATATTTGTCAAGCAATTATTTTCAGTCTCACACCGTACTTTATTCTGCTATTTAACTATTTAAAACCATAGTAGATTGGAACAGAGATTATTCTTCGTCTTGAAATGTGTTATATTGTAGAGATGAATATGGTGCAGGTCTTCGAAAGCTTCTCTACTAAATATATAAAACAGTCTAAAATTACCTGATAATTTATTTTTACTTTTCCTTCTCTTGAAAACTCATCCAGGCTGCTCATTAGGTTTTAACTAGTTATAGTTGGCCAAAACATAATAGTTTTCTGCTGTTTATGCCTCTTGCGGTTCGGGTTTAGTGTTTTTAAATTGTCTGATACTAATAACCAAAGGATTAATTTTTAAGGAAAACTTATTCTATGAACACAAATCACTATATCAGTATTCAAGCCATCAATTACATATTTTAATATATTTTTTTCTTTATTTTAATCAATATTTTTTTAAACAATAACTTCATAGAGCTATAATTTATTATGTACAGATATTAAAATTTTTAGATATTGTTGGATCGATAACATTATAAAACAAGGAATCAAACACAAGTATCATAACATTACATTTAAAGCTTAAATGTGATTATATGGTAACCTTAACGTTTATTATTTAACTGTTATTTTTAATTAATAACATCTATATACTATATGGTAGTACTATGTACTGAAAATTAATTTATTACAAATTTACAAAAAATAAAATTAAAGTAATAATAACATATAACCCATTGAGCTGATACTATGAAAAAAACAATAAAGAAAGAAATTAAAATGGAAATTTTTAAATATGGGCTATACCTATTTATATACAATATATGTTTACAAGTATTTACTATATATATATATATATTAAACAATTACTTATTTGTAAAACCTATTGAAATCTACAATAATGTTTTATATCAGGTACAATAAAATTAGGCAAAAACTCATGCTGCAATTAAAATTTAATATCAACTAATAATACTTTTGAAAATCTAAAGAATGTTATTTTGTATTTTATTTAAGTGTCTCAGCGTTTTAAATTAAACAACATTTAATATCTTTAAATTTAAAAGCTCATTTTTTAAAAATTACTTCTTTTTGAAACTGAGTATATTTAAAATTATTTCTTTTGTAAATTTCAATATTTGAAAAGAAATTATTTTTAAAAAATTCACTACAATCTTAATTGTAAGTTTACCGTTATTAGTCCATTTTCATTTTGTACTATTTTCTACCAAACCATCATTTCCATTATTTAGTTGTAATATACATTAAAATTAAAAAATAAATATTCTGTATACAAGTATAATAAAATATATACAATTCGTTTATCAAGATAATAAATTAATATGTTTTATCACTTGTCACGATAATATATTTTAATTAGTTTTTCACTTTTTTTCTCTTTTTAAATATTTTTCTACACGCACTAAAAGTGTCTTGAAAGCACTTATCCTACACAGTATCCAGAATAAGTCCGAATGTTTTCTTCTATATAACTTTTACCCTGAAGCACTCCAGGATGTGTGTGATGCTTCGGACAATGGTGGCCATGTGGACACTGGCAAAGTGTACTCGTGTTCACTTCGTCCAGGAGTTCCAATCTTTTTCTGACTGTGAACAATCGACACGGCTCTTTCCTCTGACACCTCAATCTCTGAAATCGTCAAAAGTATATATTTAAACATTGTCCCATTCAGATAAAATATATATGATGTTAAACAATGAGTTTTAAAAAGATGTTACATATTGAATAGTCCATAATAAATCTATTATGGGTTTCATAACATTAAGAATAAGCTACACATTGAAGAATAAGCTACAGCTTGAATCATTTATAAGCCATTTTGTAGTAAATATTTTTTCTGTATCTGTATTTTTTTTGCCAAGATTGTCACTAGAACAATATGGATTCATACAGCCTAAGGATACAAAATAATTAATGTGCCTGAAGATGGCATGACTGCTAGGAAGTCGAAAATGTAATGAAAATAATATAAAATAAAATATGTTGTGAAAATTAATTTAAATTTATTTTTAAAACATTTTTTTCTTAATTATCAACTTTTTTAATCTAATTGAAAATAACCGATGGTGCCGAGTTTATTTCTTCAGTACCATTTCTATTTCCAAATAATTTTTCAATATAAATGTAATTGATTTTATTAATACCAAATTAAAGATTCAATAAATCAAATTTGATGAGTGCAGAAAGTGTGATCTATATTAAAACCAGTAACACTTATATTTTTTGGGTGAAATAATTTCCTTTTTGAAGTTAAGAAAAAAGGATGGAATGATTAAAAATATGCAATTAATTTTTTTTTTGTGCTAATTGTGCAATGCATTGTAGGTGTTTACTTATAAATATGCATGTTTATTGAACCCAGACATGTTCTTGTAGTATGCATGTGTGAGCGCATAGTCTTTATGTTAAGATAAAATGTCATCATATATATTTTTGTGAATGTTTTAAAAATTAATTAATGTTTACTTAATCCACAGAAAAAGAATTTGCGATTAGAATTTATCTAAGTATGAAAAAAAAGCAAATTACAAAGATTTTTGTTTAAGGGAATTTTAATATGTGATAGTTCAATATCTTTCAAATAATGTTGACACTCTGATATTTTCCTATCGTAGTCATTGTGATCTAAAGAATGGTACTTAATATTAAATCAAACGAGGTTTCCTATATCATTTACTGCATATATCTTTTCTGTTATACTCCTAATATTTTTTGTAGTAATAATATATGAGCCGTTTATTTTGAAAATGGCCTACCTCCATTTATCTTCAATTCAAGATATTTAAGGGTTTACATTTCAATGAATTTAAAAATATACCTGTTGTATACTAATGAGTCATATTGCTTAAGTGTATCTGAGGATATTAAATTTATGTTTATTAAGTGAATAATGTGCGTTTTCTTATCAAGAATGGAGTTAGGCCACTTTCAAAATTAACAACCAGATTCATTATAAAATTTGAAGGTACCCAAGTCCATTCAACCTAATTTAAGATGCTTCAAATTGAAAAACACAATACTCAATTTATTTTACATATCTTTAAAACACTTCGGAAACACAATTTATGCGATTCAAAACATTTTTTAATTACAGAACATACAAAATCACAAACATTTTATTAACAAACAATTTACTATTCATCTAAATTTTGCGCGTGTGAAAGGGATTTGAAGTAGTCATGGTGTTGCTGTGGTATATATCGCAATAGATCAATCGTGTCCTTAAATTTTGTTGTTGTAATTTGTCTGATATTTTTATAGAGTGGTGTCAATACAATATTTTCGAATTTTCTTGGTCTACCCCGACGTAGTAATAAATTCAGGACTTTAACATTTTCATTCTCATTCATTGTTGTCTTATAGAAAATTTTATACGGTTCATTTCTGATAAAACGCATCCAAATTATTTGTAACCAGTTTACTGATTCTCCATCAGAATTCTAATTGTATTATATTATAAATACTAATTCTTAATTGAAATTACCTTCATCGCTGATGTAAGTATAAAATAAATGGAGTTAGGCCACTTTCAAAGTACACGGTTCACTTATTGAACTGATTCTGAAAACTTATGTGTAAAAAATTTATTGTATTTGCTCGGAATATTAGCAACCTGAAATGTTTTACTGATATATAGTATGAAGTTGTACATGTAACCATGGTAACCGGCAAACAATTGGAAAACGGAGTTAGGCCACTTTCAAAATAAAGGGCTCATATCTTGATTTGATTTTAATGTAGTTAATGATTTTTTTTAAAAAGTGTTTTCAATGCATTTGTACACTTCTAAAATAACCCTAAAGTATGTATATCAAGGAACATTTTTAAATTATCAGCTATAGTTCTTAAAGATGTACATACCGACTGTGGCGAACAGGCGAAGGAGTACCTATAGCCAATGGTAGAGCCATGCCTCGCTTGGAAAGGCTGCCTCCTGATGAGGTAGGCCACGGACCCTTTGGGGCAGTGGCAATGGACTACTTGGGAAGTGAGGTTCTCCCCCGTCACTGTCAGGGTCCAGGTGATGTCGCGGAAGTACCTGCACCTCGGCAGCTTCTTCACAGGTTCGCACAACTGCAGACAGACACCAGATTAGAAAATACGTTACACCTTAAAGGTCCAATCCAATACATCATCTTTCAATGGCAGTAATATTCGAAGACTTGGTATAATCTAAAGCACCTCCTTACCTTAAATTGTCGTGTCTTGTCGGTGATGGTATGGCCATCGTTGGCTGTTATTAGCCCTGGGCACTTCCTCTGGTTGGGACACCTGCACTGTCTCTCCAACCATGGCGTGTCGTACAGGTCCACCTTGCTACACACAGACCAAGGCTCACACTCCGGCAGCTCTTTCTCAGAATCCTGTAATCAAATAAAAACAAAGAGGTTAGATTTTTTTTTTAATTTGCTGTTTTCGACAATATTTAATTTAGAGAAAGCTTGATAATCTATTGAAAAAAAAAAGTTATCTGGGTATAACTCAATTTTAACATTTCAAAGCATTATGGATCCTTAAAATTATTTTTTTTTAAATCATTCTATCGGGTTGTTATTGATTAATCAGTTTCTAAGCAAAGCAGTTATCGCAGAAGTGAGATGTACTATCTATAGTCTTCATTAATTTTTTGCTTTTAAGTTCTGATGATGTATTTTTTAATAATTAAATATCACTATAACATTGTAGCCATCATCAATTCCTATCATTCTCTGAACGACTCTACCTGTTTCTATAAAAATTATGAAGTATACTGACCCAGGTGTGCCAAGAAGGGAGTTTCATGGCGCAAGTTGAGCCATCAAAATTTATGAAGGGTTACTTTTTGACTAGGTTTTCAATTCTTGAGGGAGGCACATTTCGACGGAGTTATGAATTTTCAAAATGAAAAGTTTCACATTAAAAGACAAGTGGAAGCATGGAACAGACTGCAATATGTGTAATTATATATAATCTACGAATATTTAAATTCTACTTTCGTTTGCACTATTTTTAAGAAGAAAAAAGGAATAAAATATCTTAGAGGGCCTTGTCATCAATCCATATCAAACAGATTTTGACTGAGGTGAATGGTTGTTAAAATTGATAGTTTTAATTTTAAAAATCCACTTATGTTTATTTTATTTTGTTCTCTTTTCATTTAAATAAAGTTTTTTTTTATTTATTTTTTTTTTCAAAATGGTGTTATTTTTACTTGTTTTAATTTAATTTTACTGAAGATACTATATATTCTTTAATATTGACTAATGTAATTTTTGGCCAGATGTAGTTTTTATTTTTTTTGTTCATATCTGTTATTCATAAGGGACCTTGTCCCAGAATAAAGTTTACTTTCTATCTATCTATCTATCATCTACCATACCAGTTAACCAAGTTATTAATTTCAAATACTCGTTCGACGAAACAATTTAACATTCTTTCATTTCTTAAAGAGTTTTTTTTCAGTGCTATGCACTGTTTAGGAGTTATAGATGAAAAAAAAATATCGAAAATATCTTGGTTTTTTGACCATAAAAAGTTTTCCCTTGATGGCCCCCATTAGCAATTTTGTTTTTTACATGTTTAAATTCATATATATAAGTTTTAAAAAAATTCTTAAATTTTTCGCAATAAATTTCTGGTTTCGATTCTCAAGTTACTGGCCTATTATTCTTTAAATCAGTAGCCATTTTTTCAGGTCGGATGATCCGACTGATATACTATCATTTTTTAATATAAATGTTATTAATATTAAGAAAAATGTTTTCAAAATTTTCATCAGATAATAACAAATTTTTTTCACGGACTCTTGGTCTGTTAACAGATGGACTTTTTATAAGCGAACTCTCGGTATAAATTTTATGAATGCGGCCCTCGCATTCCTCCCCCAGTAGTCAACGGTGATTTGCTGTACAGTTTTAAGAATTCCTAATAGAAAAACATTCGTGGAATTGGAAACCTTTATCATGACAGATTGAAGTATCGCTCAGCTCCCATTCAATAGCTAATGATAACAAAGGTCCTGTCGTGGGCATTCTAATATATTTCTTCTGTTCACCTGAGGATCGAGGCGTTTGTTGGGACATTGGGCTGACAGGGATGATCTTGTGATAAGATTGATCGCGATGGTTTCGTACAAAGGGGCAGAATTTTTTGCTGTTGAGGGCGGATAGGTGACCGCTATAGGGGCTAATGAATGAGCTGTCGAGAAGTGCGACCCCTTCAAAGGGACACGTGGTCCCCCCCCCCCGAAACACAAGCCCCATACGAGGGGTCTACCTTCTAGGAACTTGTTCCATCTGATAAACCCTTCGTGGAAGCATAAACTAGGGGAGACTGGACGGCTTATTAAACTCTCCCGAGAGCCGAGTATCATTACCCCATTTTATTCCTCCGGTTGCTTCTGATCCTTCTCATTCCAGAGATAACTGCCCAGTCGAGTCGAGCTATCTTCGCATTATACTCCCCGCTCTCTTTCTCTCTTTCCTCTCTTCCTCAACTATCCAAGGCCTTCTATTTCTTTCTTTGAGGTTCTCTTCTTGGAACATATTAACTTCTGGATTAGTGGTCCCTCTTAACGGATTCCGATTTAAGTCCGTTGTTTTCAGGAATTTTGAATATTTTAGATTTGAACAATAAAGTGCATTATCTAAAGGTACTATTTATTATTTTGTTACCAGTTATGCTTTTAAAAAAATAAATACTAATATTGTTTTAAAGGAAGGAGATGGTACGGGGTGGCGGTCATAAATGGGCTGAATAGTGGCAAAACTATTTTATTAATAGCCAACGTTTCGACCTAACTTTGCAGGTCTTCTTCAGGGAGGTGTGTTCAGCTAGAAATTTAACTCTATCAGTTCGAAGTGAAACTCCTAGCTGAACACACCTCCCTGAAGAAGACCTGCAAAGTCGGATCGAAACGTTGGCTTTACTATCTAACGCTTTACTAGCTAACTATTCAGCCTATTTATGACCGCCACCCCAGACATTTCCTTCCTTTATAATGCAACGATCAACAATTAAATATTTAATATTATTTTATTTTTAATACCGTACTCGCTTAATCTTACCACCAGTGACGCCGTTGAGAGAGTAGTGCAGGGATCTCTTGGAGTCATGCTTTTCCCTTCATAATTGGAGTTACAAGCCTGACTTGGGATTCACTGCCTGATTATATATATCGTATGACTGTGGTTTTATGTTTTTAATTTACTTATCTTTAAGTTATTTTATTTTTTATTGTATATAGTTTTTCATTATTTTTTATTGTATATAGTTTTTCATTATTTTTTATTGTATATAGTTTTTCATTATTTTTTATTGTATATAGTTTTTCATTATTTTGTTAATTTTATGGTTTCTGTACATATGGTGTGAACGTGATCATATCTCACTATAATTATTGTCCGTGTGACAGATTATTATATTTCTGAATAGATTAATGAAATGCCGTAGAATCATACAAACCTGGAGTAATGTATTTTTATCACTGAAGCAATATCAAACTTACATTTCGATATCAAAATTACATTCGAAGATAGAAATCCATGATGAGAATACAATGCGATTCAATCAATTGCTCTCAATAAATATAAATTGTAAAACCACAATCCACATTACCTTTTTAAAATTTATTTTAACTATTATCTTGAATAATTATTGCGCCTGATTTTTTTCACAGATCTTAATATTCATATAAAATATTTTTTTATAATACATAAAATTTAGATTGGAACCTTGTTGATGAAGATCTGTGTTTTTCCCCCTTTATATTTGAGCATATTTTATTATATTTGATTGATATTACGATATTGATTAAATGATGATTTAATAACTCACTAGTATTACAATTACGTAAATATATATATATATATATATATATATATATATATATATATATATATATAACTGTGGAGTCAACATCACAGGGGGCAGTAATGGAATTGTACTTTAAATTTGAAATAATTATATCAAAATAGAATAGAAGCAGAGCTTCGGCTAAATATTTCTCTTTTTTCATAATAACTGTAATTAATCTATTTGATTTTTCAATATATACCCATGCCTCACTTTTAAGGATTTCGCATTATTTGGTTAAATACGAATTATGTGTCTTTATTGTTTTTTTTTTTATAAATAAAATTTGATCTAAGCTGGGTTTGAAATTAAAAATTAACTTTTTTTTTAATAAGTTCTAGTGGTATCATTTTCAGTTGGCTTTCTGTTTTTTAGAAACTAGAACATTTTCTGATGAAAAATTTCAATTAAATATTTGAAAAAAAAATTGCACAGAACATTCCCAACTGCTTAAATAAAATAAATATAATAATATTGTAAGCATCAGACAGTTGATTCAATATAAAGCATGTCTGTAATATGAACCTAATTACTATATCACTTATTAAGTACTTAAATGAATAATAATTTTACAATAAACCCAGAATTTCAATACAAAAAGGTTCCGTCGATATTTTATTTAAAACGTTTCTCCAAATCAATTTTTATGCAGTCTTTTAAAAAGTAGAACTTCTTAAAAAAAGGTTCGATAAAAGTATCAAGCCTTGTATATAATATTTTCATTTACATGCATTTAGTATGTATGTATGTATATCTAATAGCACGACATTGTATTTTACCCGAATGTTAAAGGAAATTGTATTGCAGGAGTGACTTTACAACCATTGAAGAAAAGATCCTTTGAGAAAAGAAATGAAAGAGAGAAGGTAAATAAAGGATCGGAAATCCTCGAATAAGGGACACAACAGGACTCTCGAGGGGCCTGTTACGATTTGAAGAGGGTACTGAAAACCGGAGGTCGCACAATAGGCGAAAGATTACCCACTCGAGGGTGTCTGAAAGTAATCCCCTGGTTGAGGACCGTTCCAAGGATCCATTACCTGTTTTCGGAAACTGTTAAAGTCCTTCTCAAGGAGCGGCACAGCTTCAAAACGACACCACCTCTAAAGATGAATGAAGATGTCACTTGTACCACAGGGGTGGCGCTTAGCAACTCCTATCCTTTCTTGTAGGTACCTTCAAAGTGAACATAACAATCCAATATGATACAAAAATATAAACAGAGCTTTCTTCTCTCTTTAAAGTTAATAAAATCTTAAGAAATCTCAATTAAGTGTTATGATGAAGTCAGTTTTGATATACGGTTGCATGATCTAAAAACTAACAAGCTCCTTAGTACTTTTGAAGAAGTATTGAAATATACTTTAGAGAAAAGTCCCTCGCGCGATAACCGGAGCGATCTGGGACCAGAGTACTATTTCATGAAGAAACAGGATCGATAAAGAGCTCCTTAAAGAAGCCTATACACAACAATGAATGTCTGAGTAGTAGAAACAATACCACGTGAGAGCCCAAAAACAAATTGATAAAT